AATGCTGTGGAATCTCCAAATTGCCAGTGGGCCGACTGCTTCGGCCTAGAAACAGAGAATGTGCGAAGTTCCTGCAGGAAGAATCAAGGCCATAAAAACAGAACAAGACGATTCCCTGTCCTAAAGGCCGAAGCCTCAGCCCAAAGCCCGAACACGGAACACCCCCGTAGGCCCATACCCTACGAAGCATCACTTCATCCGTTCCTCGTGCTGGTCGAGGTGCTCAACCCTGCAAGAAACCTGTTGAAACCCACACAGGCCGATAGCTTTCTGATCCTCCTGCAATTACCCTCTGAAATGCTTCAATGAACCACAAACAGACTTAGCCCGAAAGAAAGGGCACCGTTGCAAAGCCCTACCGTTTACCGTAAAGAGTAAAGCAGACAAACCTGAAACCCTGAGCCAGGCCACCATGGCGGGACTTCGTTCTGCGGCAGCCGGGCAGTGAAATCGACTTCCTCGGTCTGTCTCTCTCTCTCTCTCTCTCCCTCCCTTTCTTCCTTGCTCTCGAAAATTACTGTCTCTCTCTCTCTCTCTGTCTCTCCCTCCCTTCCTTTCTCTCGAGAATTACTCTCTCTCTCTCTCTCTGTCTGTCTGCATTTATATATGCATATACACACACATACTATGTACACATACGTACATAGAAGTATAGGTAGCATAGGTAAGGCTTCAGGTTTCAGGCGGTCCAGGGTTGTTATAATCATACGCATGACAAAATCTGCATGCAGGAAACGTGACTACTAACTAAGAAAGCAAGAACTAATCCTGAGAAGTCGGATCATGCAGGCACGCATTAGTACGGACGATGGGCGCAAGTGTCTCATAAAGCTTATATGGCCTCAGAGACATGATGTGTGGCGGTGCAATACGTCAGTCCGTTAAGTCTATTTTAAATTGCAAGATGCATACCCGGACTGCTGAGTGAAGAGCTGCAAGGGTTCAAAACATTTTCCTGATCCCAAAGCAAGCCGGTTCAGGGCTTTCGGGTGTGATTGATCTCAGAAACTGTTGCGGCCGGACATAAGGCGGCATCATCCCTGGTCTGGGATTCAGGGACTCATGCATGCTGCGAGTACCAGAGTGGTGCGTGACAGCTTTAGGCGTCCGATGCGGTCTCTGTGTTTGCTAAGCTATCGTCTGTCTGTAACGGAAACACACCCTAAAACCTCATCTCAAGGCGGGTTACCACGAGGACTGTAAGGGTTACTACGAGTATGGAGGTGTCTCAGGGCTCTGGGGTAGTAGGTTCAATACCCTAAAGGGTTCATGTACCCAAATAGTTTATACGTTGGCCCCCAAAGCACCTATATAGGGGTTTCCGAACATAGGGGACCCTAATATGGTACCCTAAATAGTAGGATCCTTATTATAAGGACCCCAAATAAGGTACCCTAATTTTCGGAAACTCCCATATAGGGACTACTTTAAGGCCAAATTATTTGGGCACATGGACCCTTAGGGTAACTTCCTTAACAGCAACCCAGATTTGGGGCTTCTCGGAGTTCGATTCGAGAGCTGGGCCAGGGTGTTCTTTAGACCTTTACAGACGGCTCGGGTCTTGAAAACCACGCTTTTCTAGTTTTCGAGCTTTAGTAGGTTTAGGGTTTAGTAGGTTTAGGGTTTAGGGTTTAGGGCCTTTAGGGTTTCGGGCTTTAGTAGGTTCAGGGTTTAGGAAGCCGGGAATATTTTTCGGATGGTGGGGAGCTTTTCGGAATGCTGCTTGAGTTGCGGGTAGGTAGATCCTGCACGGCTCTACAGGGTGGAACATGGTGCTGTGAGTACTTTCAAGTTAAGGACAGAGGGGGTCCTGTTTTGATGGCTACGCTACAATCTGCAAGTGGCGATAGCTTTACAAGAGGGCTGGGATTTGGTGCTTGCTCCGTGAGGCTTTTATGCAAAAAGGGCTGCGGCTACATTCGACACTGTTATTGCCCTCAGTCGCAGCTTTGCAACCCTCACCCTCAGCTTGGAAAGAAACTTGGGTTTATATAATGTTCTGCCCTACAGGGCACGCCCTCGTAAGTGCTGGGGTTCGGCAACGTGGCCTCACAAAGAATTGGAGAGGGTTTGGGGGTATGTTATAGTATAAGGAGGCTACAGCGGGATAGCAGAACTAATTTTTCAGCCCTGAACCAAGAAAAGGTTCAGGGCGTATAAGTTGCAAACATTGGGGCATGGTGCTGCTTTTCCCGGCCCTCACCCTCAACCCAAACACCTCTTTTTAAATCATTCAAATCTCTAAAGCTCCGGAACCCTAAGACCCTAAACTCGCCGCCAACCCCTAAACCCGGAACCCCGAAACCCCTAAACCCTAAACCCTAAAACCCTAAACCCGGAACCCCGAAACCCCAAAACCCTAAAACCTCAACGTGCAACCCCGAAACCGCAAAACCCCAAACCCTAAAACCCTAAACCCGGAACCCCGAAACCGGCATAATCAGGAATCTTAGAACTCACAAGCTTCGTCGGACTCAACGGTTAGGGTTTGTGGTTTAGGGTTTAGGGAGGTTTAAGGTTTAGAGCTTTAGGGAGGTTTGGGGTGTATGGATCTATGTGATTGCGAATGCTTGGGGTTCAAAGTCGGGGTTTGTGTGAAGCTTGTCCATCCCTAAACCCTACGTCAATCCTAAACTTTGAGTTTTTGGAGCTTTTGGGGTTTAGGGTTTAGGGTCATTTATTGCTCAGTGGCTGCTTAAAATGCAGGGCCCTAAACCCTAAACCCTAAACCCTAAACCCTAAACCCACCGTGCTTGTCGGGGCTAGGGTATGTGGGGCTGTGGGTTCCAGGGCCGGTGATGGGTTTAGCTTCCGGGTTTGAAGGGTCTACTACAGGGTCTCTCTGTGTGTGTGTATGTATATATATATATATATGTAGATATATAGGGTTTAGGGTTTAGGGTTTAGGGTTTAGGGTTTAGGGTTTAGTATATATATATATATATATTATAAGTACATCATGAATACACGTACATACGGATTTAGGATTTTAGGGTTTAGGGGCGAAGCTTACTTTTCCAAAACACATTGCGCCCATAGCTTCCTCTGAAAGGCCTGGCTTAAGGGTTTCGAAAGCGCTTCTGGTGTCTGAACACCGAACTTCAGCTCAAGCCCTTGCTCTTCTGGGTTGTACTTATGGGGCCCTGAAAGTAGTTATGAATAGGTACCTCTATAGGAACCACAAGGGAAAGTTTTAAGTTTGCCAAAATGCTACCTAGTCTTTGTCGCTTCGACGGTAATTCAAACAACAAGTTACACCATGTATGCATAGGGCCTCTGTGGGCCGATACGGTCCTGGGTTCAGAACTCGAGGCTCGAGTGGTTAATTGATGCGTAGGAAAGCTTCGACCCCGAAAAAAAGCAAAGCGGCAGGGTTTAGGGTGTAGGGTTTAGGGTTGCCCTAGACCCTAAACCCTAAACGCGCCTTCTCTGTCATATCAACGAGCATGTCGTTGCTGACAACTTGCTCGAAGGATGCATCATGGACTTTGGCACTCGCACCACAGCCCATGACAGCCGGATATCCCGGTTTGCAGAACTCAACAAAAGAGCCGGTGCAAAGTGCACCAACAAGCCAGCAGGAGTGCCGGTCCGGGAAATCTGTTCAAACTTGGGCCGAGACAGCTCGTGATGAAACTTGGCACTTCTTCGAAGCTGCAGCATGAAACCTAGCATGACGAGCAGCTGCACCCGCTGTGTAGAAAGAGCGAGCGAAAGAAGAGACAAAGGGAGCGATATAGAGAGAGGAGGAGACCGACAAAGAGGGAGAGGGAGAGGGAGAGGGAGAAAGGCGAAGGCTTCACAGTGAGACAGGCACGCGTTTCAAAGACACAGTAACATACACAAAAGCAAACAAGCGTGTGTGTGTGTGTGTGTGTGGGTGTGGGTGCGGGTGCGCGCGCGCGCGTGTGTGTGTGTGTGTGTTTGTGTTTGTGTGTGTTTACGTACGTAATTACACGTTAGATAAATCGTATGCAAACAGAAAGCAGCACATGCATACATGAAAACACGTAGACACTGGCGTAGACACTGGCTGGCCGAGGTATGTAAGCACAGGAGCAACGCATGCACACGTCCGCATGAAACAACCAGCACCTGCATGCGAGCGCAGGCATACATACATACATACATACATACATACATACATGCATGCATGCATACATACATACATACATACATACATACATACATACATATGTATATATGTGCATATACATACTATGTATATGTGTGTCCGGTTAGTTAAGACTAGGTTGGAAAGGTTGAGACTAGATCAGATAGATTTGAGAGATAGATTAGTCAGGTTAGGTAAATGAAACGCGTAGCTTAGATAAGCTAGATAGGTAAGGTAGATATAACAGATAGATACGTAGATGGGTGAACAGATCAACAGATACATTGATACACCGATGGGCAGACAAATATACAGATAGAAAGAGACATAGACTACATAGACCTAGATAGGTAGGTAGGCAGGCAGGTAGGTGGGTAGATAGGTAGGTAGGTAGGTAGATTGGTGGCTGCCGAGGCATGCTTGCAACGATGCAGAGTCCGCAATATGCAGTAGCTCTTAGGGGTCTACCTAGAGTCTCCATAGTAGTTCTTTTTTTGGGATACCTTATACAATCCTTAATACAAAATTGGTTAACCAAAAAAAGGGACTACAATGGAGACTATAGCAGAGTTTAGGGCTTAGTGGAGTATCAAGAGAAGGCTCGCCAAATGCGGACGGAAGGTATGACGTTGTAACAAGGTAAAAACGGCTTGGTCGACCCAGACATTGGCAATGCATTCGAAGAACGTTGTTAAAGGTTTGTCTACTCGAAGATTGCCTATGCGTGTTCTCTCTTCCTCTCCGTCTCTCCGTCCCTCTTCTGCCGGCGATGAATCCAGACCCTAAACCCTAAACCCTAAACTACAGCCAAGCAGCCACATGAACTTGCCAAAAAACCCTAAACCCTAAACCCTAAACCCTAAACCCTAAACTGCAGCCAAGCAGCCACATGAACTTGCCAAAAGAGCCATATTCCGCAGCCGCCTCTTGACAAAGCTTTGCGTTCCGCACCGTACTTTCCTCGGCTTCGGCTTCGAAGGGTTTAGAGTTCTACTTTTTTGGGGGGTTTGGGGTTTAGAGTTCTATTTTTTGGGGGTTTAGGGTTTA